TCCACAAGAAACACAATACAAATCGAGTAAAGTACTAATCAATCATTATCCACATTTTCTAAGACATAGAGAAGAATTCTTTCGAAAAGTTTCCATTCCAGTAGAATTAGAAAATTATAAAGAAAAAATATTTCAATTAAGTAATATACATTATCAAACAGAATATTTGAAGTTAGAGGGAGAAAAATGGAAAATCTATAAAATATCAGCAATAGGCAAAGATAATAAAAATAAAAGTAATAAAGATCATGTAGAACTAATGGAAACAATTATAATAGATGATAATGATAATAATAATAATAATAACACTATACCAATAAGTAGACCATCACCAAATGGATTAGCAGGTCCACCTGGGCCATTAGATTTCAGTGAATATTCTGAATTTTTTGATGATTGGTTGTCTAATCCAATACCAGGACAAAAACGAAAACTCAGACATCGACGAGATGATCCACCCACACCACCATCTCCAAGACAGTCACCACCACCAATAATCCCAAGAAAAACATTGGCACCTAGAAATGTAAACATTCCATTAACTGGAGGATCCGTTCATGGATCACCATTTTCTAATGATAGAAAACATCACCAAAGAAGTGAACAACGTTCATTTAATGCATTATTACCATTAGAAAGACAAGAATCGAATAACGAAGAAAGGCAAATAACTATTGCCAATATAGCAAGAGAATCATCAATGATTATATCACCTATAAAAAGTTCTACACCAGAAATAAAAGAAAAAGCCCCTTCAGTTATACCAAAAAATGGTATAAAAGCAACAACCACAACAACAACAACAGATATATCATTTGAATGTAAAATCATTCCTATCGAGTGTCGTTATTTTTTCAAAAATTTAAAACAAAAATATACATTTGAAAATATTGAAACTCATGAAAAATTTCTTGAGAAAGAATACAAATCATTAGAGGACGAAAGAGAGAATAAATTGAAATTATTCTTTCCAGAAGAAAAACAAGCTCAAGTAATTTCTCTCGTAAGAAATATTGTCGAGAAAGTCCTTGAAAAAAAACAATTAGATGATCAGAAAAGAATCGATAATCTCATCTTGGATCATAAACGTGAAAAAGCATTGCTAACAATTAGAAACATTGGAAATGAATCAGCACAGCAATACATAGAAAATTTAAAAGAAAAATTCCAGAGAACATTAGATCTGAAATTACAACTCGATAAATTGGAAAAAGATTTGTCGAGAACATGCCACCACCATCATTGAATATATTTGATAAGTTACAGCTATACGCAAAACAGCTACAACCAGATGATAAACATCTGAGTTCGCTTAGAGAGCAGTGGAAGAATGTACTTCGAAAAACGAAACTAGAATTAACTACGTTGATGAGACAAGCTAAAATGATTGAATTAGAGCAAGCTAATAAGGAGTACGATGCACTAAAAAAAGATTTACCAAAACATCTCTGTGAATCACATGATACAATATGTCATGTAATGAGAACACGACATAATCAATTCGCCAAACGAAAGCTGAATTTTTTAGCAAAAAGGGCGTGCGTAATCAACGAAAATTAACGCATGCCCTCTCTCGTTATCATCCTGAACATCTTAAAGGAAAACTCCATCCACATTTCACTCGTTTAAGTTCCCCACCTCAGGCAAATAATAAAGCATATGTATTAAAAGATACAGAAGCTCAAGTACTAAATCTAGGACCCAAATTTGCCCCTCCCGCGCCTGAACAAGTTCTCGAGCGTCTTCCAAAAGAAATAAAAATTATGCAAGAAAAAGTATCAGAAGCATGGAGAAAAGTAACAAAGACAATAGGAAGAGAACCTCCAATCGTAAAAACGTTTTGCGATCGAATCGAAAATGAAATAAGAAAAACTGTAGAGACAGAAAAAAACAGAAAAACCAAAAAATTCTATTTTAAAATCAACAGTAACATTATTTCAAAAACTCCAAAAACAAAAGAAAGTAATATTTAGACAAACAGACAAGTCAAAAGTCTTTCATATAGATAATCCAGAAAACTATATAGAAAAATCAACGACATATATGTCAAGAACGAATGCATATATAGAAATATCCACATCGCCACTTAGAGAAATGATAGAACAAACAGATAAGTTCTTACGAAATTTAGTTACAAAGAAACAAATGCCTCAATCTATGTTAGATCGACTACGACCATCAAGAACAGAATCCGAACTACCCCATTTATATTATAATCCCAAAGATCATAAACTTGGTGAACCACTCAGACCCATAGTTAGCGGAATGAAATCTCCTTTATCAAAAATAGCTAGTTTTCTAGATCGACTTATTCGACCTCTCTTTGATAAACATACTCCATACGCATTATCGAACTCAATAATCTTTCTAAAACATCTAAAACAATTTAAAACAACATCAGAAACAAATCTATATACATTTGATATAACAGATTTGTACACGATGATCCCGCAGAAAGAAGCAGTACTAGCCATATGTGAATTCTTAGGCAGACATGGATACAGAAAGGTACAGGGACTAACAATAAATACAATAAAAGAAATGTTTATGCATATATTGGAGAACTCATATTTCGTTTTACAATTACCAGGATTAAAACCTAAATTTTATCGACAGATTAAAGGAGGAGCGATGGGTTCAGCTTGTACACAAGTACTCGCTGACATATATGTACGAAAATGGGAAAACGAGTTCGTACAACAACAGCAACAGCAAGGAGAGCTGTATCTACGTTTTAGAGATGATGTATTTTTAACTACAAGATTACCACAAGAACAAATAAAATTTTTTTTATCAGAGATAAATAAGAAGGGTCCTAATTTAACCATTACATGGGAAGGAGGACAAACAGTAGACTACTTAGATGTAACAACTACAATTGAGATTCCGAATTTTAGAACAAAAGTCTTTCGGAAACTAGCAACACAACCATATGTGCTTCCCTTTCACTCATCTCATCCAATACACATAAAAAGAAACATACCATATGCAGCAGCCTTAAGAGCTACACGTATATGCTCACATTTAGAAGATCTTCGAAACGAATTAGAAAAAATTAGAATCACATTACTCCTGAATAAATATCCACCTAGATTTATTGATAAGCACATAGGACGATTTTTTCAAGATGTAACTGAACAACGAACATCAGAATTACTGCTAAGAGAAAGACACCAAACATATAGAGAAAGAACGCTTGAACCTGAAGGGAATAAAAAAAGAAGGAAGAAAGATAGAGTTTGGTAAGGACATCCTTCTTCATTTCACATACACACCATCCTTAGCACATTTCGATTCTCGTTTTCATCAAATATGACAAGAGATACTTGAAGACACACCTCTAGACGACATACCAGTCATGTATGCTAACAGAGTGCCAGATAGCCTAATACACCTTCTAATTAAAGAAACGACCTAGTAAAGAAGCCATCAAACTATTACCATAATCAATAAAATAAAAAATAAACACCTCTATACAAAAAATAATAAGCGAAAAGAAAAGTAAATAAGACAGAACTATTGAGGAAGAGAGACAAACAACAACAGCTAAAAAAGAAAAAAAGATTATAACAGCAAGAGTGAATGAGACTTGAAATAACGTAAACAAACAACCGAGAAAATAACTACAACAACAAAAAATAAAAATAAAAAATAAAAGTAAAAATAAAATAAAATAAAAATAACAAAAAACGAAAAACAATAACTAAATTGTATCCATCTGTTGTTCTAATTCATATAAACTATCTTTCTGTCTTATTACCTCTGTCTTATTACCTCTGTCCATCCCATGTATCTTCTTAATTTTCTTACTTTTTGTAACCTAATTTACTTCCTACTATCTATTGTAAAAAATACTTTCTATTTATACTTCGTATGTTTCTTACTTTTTCTTTTTCTATCTTAATTTAATTTATTTTATACTATCTATTGTAAAAAAGATTATCCTTCTCACTTATTGTAAAAAATATTATCCTTCTCACTTAATGTAAAAGATATTTCTATTTGTATATCCATTCTCATAACATTTATTGTGATAACATTTATCCTCAAAATATATTTTCATAATATAGTATTTGTAAATAACGTCTCTCCCTTATATTCATCCAAACTATTGTAACAATGCCTCTTCCCCATATTCATCGAATCTATTGTAAAAATATCTCTTTCATAACCATACTCACCTTTATTGTGCAAAATACTTGTGCATTTAATGAAACGACCACGTCAAGATACCGATTCATACATTTTATCCTCGCCATAACTAAAGAAAGAATTATGAAGTTAAAAAATTATTATAAAAATTGAAATACATTATTAAAAAATGACGAAAACAAAACAATCCACTACAAACAAAATGCAAAAAATGCATTATGATGAAATAAAACAAAAATAATACATTAGAATACATTAGAATGAATAATTAAAAATGATCAGAACAATCAACTAAAAATAAAAATAAAAACGCATTACAATACACTAAAAATAAAAACGCATTACAATACATTAAAAAATTATTAAAAGTTATCAGCATAACCCACTACGACCAAAAAGAATGATAACAAAACACAATATTAAGAAAGATCAAAGCAATCCGCCACAAACAAAACGCATTTTAACGAATTAAATAAAAAATAATCCACCACAAAAAAGAATGCATTATAATGCATTAAAAATAAAGAATTGAAAATTATCAATGCATTACAATGCATTAGAAATAAACAATTGAAAACTATCAAAAACGATCAACTACAACTAAGAATAAAAATACATTACAATGCATTATAATAAACGATTAAAAATTATCAGAATAATCCACTCCAAGAAAAAATCAATGATAAGAAAATGACTTAGACCGAATAATCGAAAGAACCAAAAATGAAACAACAACAAAATCAAATCAACGATAATAAATGAACTTAAAAATGAATAATCGAAAAAACCGAAAATGAAGCATCAAAAAAATCAATGATAATAAATGACTTAAAATGAATAATCGAAAGAATCAAAAATGAAACATCAAAGAATCAAGATCAAGAACAATCAAAAATGTCCATAACATCGCTTGAAAAAGAATAATTCGAAAGGCCTCGCGTGAAAATATTATATTTAATATATCATTGATATTTAATTTATTTTTTGTTTATTCCTTGTTGAATAAAACTTATTATTTTTCCTTTCCTTTTTCTTCTTTATCTTATGCTTTATTTTTCTCCACATTTTTTCTCTATCAATAATCAATATTAAATACTAAATACTAAATAATAAATAATAAAAAAAATTCAAAAAATTATATATTTATATGTTTATTTATTCTTAATACAAATTCAATTGAACATATATTTATGTCGACTTGTCAAAATTCTAAGAACCGGCAATACTTCTGAGAAGACTTATAGCTGAATCTTTGTTTCATCGTGCTAGCTCCGTCGTGCTTGCTTCACACTGATATTAAAGTGATACAAAAAATAGGAACTCTTCAAAACAAGCGTCAATTTTAATGTTTATTTCAATTTCGTTTGAAAAGTACAAACTTTTCTAGTAGAGACTGTTCTTGAGTTACTTTGATACCGTCCAATTTCTTAGTACCAAATACTTGGTTCAATTTTTCGTATGCTGACTCTTCATGGCCCGTGAATATGAGGCAAGACTGGTTAAAACCAAGTTTCCGTACTTCACGTAATAAGAGAGCACCTGCTATTCTGGGAGAGCTCTCATTTGTTCGCTTCATATCAGTGACAATACGGAATGTATTGCTGTCTTTCAGTCGTTTCCCAAACGTCGAACGCAGAAATGTAAGTGCAGATTCTGTATTGGACTTAGGAACGAAGTGAACATTAACACGAGTTCCTAGTGTGCTCGCTTTTTCCATGTGTCCTTTATTTTCCCATCCTGCATCAAAAATATTGTCGTCAACCCACAGTACCACATATTTGGAAAAGCCTAATTCGATCTATATCGCAGACATATCATCGCAAACTAATTCATAGAAGAAATAACTTACTTGTCTCAAATATATATAATTTTTTCTTTCTTTTTCATTGTATTTTACTTGGCATACAAGAAAAGATGAGTGAGGAAGAAAAAGAACTTCATCTTCGTCGTCACCACAATTCGAAAAATGCTGGATGCTTCGGCCAGTCAGTGAAGATATAATGAAGATCGTATTACGATCCTTAAAATATGACATGTCTTTTCCACCTTTATCTGCACTACTGAATTGCAGCCACGTTACGATTTCGCCAGTTTGATAGTCCTCCAGATCTTTCGGTTCTAATTTTACGTAGCGTACCACAGTGCCCCAATAGAAATCAATGTGCGAGAGGCCTTTGATTAGATAATACATGATCAGGGCTGCATTGCTACTAGTACTAATTTCATCCATATTCAGTTCATTTGATGTCACCAATCGTCGGGCAAACACATTGGCTTCCATACTGACCAGTGCACTGTATGCGCCAGTGTAGAATGCAATTGCGAAAGCATATGCTCTTGCATCGTCTTCTGAAACTCCTCGTTCTACGAAATACCCATAGGTAGCTTGGCTCTTTTTATTATGCGTGGTGATATCGTTCAACTCGTCATATTCCCTGCAAGCGTTCATTAGATTTTCTAATGATGGTGGATTCCCACCTTTCAGCATTTTCTCCAGTGCCGGTCCGAAGTCATCTTCAATTACAGCAAACTCTTGGCGCTTTTCCATAAGCTGAGCTGCATCTTCATAGAGGATGGCATTTTCCAGATACTGCTCCACCGTTTCAGAGTCGAATTTTTTCGAATTTGGGAATCTTTGAAAATCAGGTATTTGACCAACCGGGTGTAAATACATTGCTGGTTTGATCTTCTTCGTTTTATTGCCGAAGTCTCTCTTAGCATTTTGAACTTGCTTGAATACATCCGTATGACTGTGGCGTGACCTCAAACGAAGGGCACTGTCCTCTGACATATTATACCCCTTTGGTGGTTTTGAATTATTAGTTGCCATTATAAAAAGTTTTCTTCTGAAAAAAACACACAAAACATGCCGCTGTATTGAAATTTTATGAAGACTGTATGTTTGCGCATGCATTAGAATGTGGATTACATTTATGAGAATATGGGTACAATTTCAACCAAAATTTCTAATTTCTAGACGGTGTCTACATCGTCTCAAATATTCCCTAGACTGAAAGGATAGGGTCTGGAAACTGTAATTCACCTGTGCCTGTCTGTCTGTCTGTAACAATGGCACAAATGACCATATTTATGCCAAAAATGGCCATATTTATGGCGTAAAAGACCATTTTCATGGCACAGATGACCACTTCTGAGACACAAATGACCACTTCCATGACGCAATTGGCCATTTCTATGGTACAAATGACCATTATTGTGGCACAAATGTTCATCTTTATGGTGATTGCCATGCGTGGATTGGTGAGAGGTAAACGTGGAATACATCCCTCCAGTGACGGAACCAATGGAGCCAGGCAGGAGGAGCCCCCTAGCGAATTTTGAGGCTACTATCGCAAAATCTCTGAGTAACGCAAGTTAGTAGCTAGGTGAGAGCTAACCCTTCCCTCCTCCACTTCTAAAAACCTTCGAGCCCGCTGACATGATTCTTCAAACAAGTCCGTTATGTATAAGAGGGCCTGAGATTCTCTCCCGCATCCCCAAACCGTAGTTTGGCCGTTGCCCCCTCTTCGTGTTTCAGTTTGTCTTTGCGTACTTTTTCTCATTCATTTTCGTCTGATTCTTGCCCCGTTTTATTTATTCGATTTCCTCCGCACCTCCAATCAACTTATACGATGGCCTCTTCGAAATTTCAGGATCTGTTTCTGAGACAAACAACTACTTTTCTCGGCAATGGGTGAATTTCATGCCGTATTCCATATCAGTCTAGGACTCAGTGAATCGACTTTTGATGTCGATGAACGTTACTTGTAACAATATTGGCACTTTGATCTGCTCCCTAGGCTGAAAGGATCTAGAAACCTTAATTCACCTGTGCCTGTCAATCCCAGTGTCCGTGTGCAACATTGGCACAAACGACCATTTTTATGGCAAAAATTGGCATTTTAAAGACACAAACCATGTGCGGGTGCAGGGCAGAGTCGCATGAAATAGGCCGCCCTATATATGGGGCCAGTATAAGGAAAGAGTTGATCTTCCTTCGCAACTTTGAGCTAACCATCGTGAAATTTCTAAACCATGCATTTTTGCGGCTAGGTAAGACTCAACCTCTGCTCTGCCTTAAGAACCTTTGAGCCCCATATGTCTGTCGTTCGTTTTCACATTTAGTGCTTTTACTTGAAAACTTTTCATTTTCGTCTAATTCTCACCTCAGTTCCACTTATTCCAACGCCTTTACAGATCTCCCTTCAACATATCGGCTAATCTCTTCAAAAATTTTATCACCAACTTCTGGCATATACAACCGATTTTCTGTCCTGTCCATGCATTTCTCCTGCTCAGCACTGTCACCCATGTAACTTTTTTTCGAGTCGTAACGCGTCTCTGAGCGTTTGTGAGCGATCGCACTTCACGCATCAGGACCCATCCAAAATGCAACATTTTCAAGCGTGCGAACGCATCCAAAAGCAAACGCGTCTAAACTCGTCCGGATGCCAGATGCATTAGAACGCGTTTACTTTTTTACCCCAAAAAAAT